AAAAACCAAAAAAAAAAATTGCTGATATATTACTGAACCTTAGAGGTGGTTATGGTAGCGTTGTATATACTGAGACTCTCTTTTTTTTTTGTTTCTTTCTTTTGGAGCTGAGGATGGAACCCAGGGCCTTATGCTTGCTTGCTAGGCAAGTGCTCTACCACTGAGCTAAATCCCCAGCCCTTGTTACTTGCTTTTTTTCTGGTTTTTCGAGACAATGTTTCTCTGTGTAACAGCCTTAGCTCTCCTAGAACTCACTTTGTAGACCAGGTTGGCCTGGAACTCAAAGAGATCCAGCTGCCTCTCTGCTAGGATTAAAGACCTGCCTCCCTGCACCAGAGCCAGGCGGATCTCTGTGAGTTCCAAGCCAGCCTGGTATACAGAGTGAGATACAGGACAGGCACTAAAACTACACAGAGAAACCCTGTCTCAAAAAACAAATCAACAACAACAACAAATAATAATAAAAAAGACCTGCCTCCCTCAAGTGCTAGGATCAAAGCATGTGCCATCGCCCAGCTGAGACTCGTTCAAAATGCCAAGAACTGGGGATGCAGCTCCCTGGTAGGGTGCTTGCCCATCATGTGCAAGGTCCTGGTTTCCTCTCCACCAGCCCAAGAGCACCAAGAAGAATTTTAAGCCCTAGAATTTCAAGAATGTATATCTGTAGTGGTTCAGCATGCTGGTAATCCAGCACTCAGGAGGCAGAGGCAGACAGATTTCTGTGAGTTCAAGGCCAGCCTGGTCTACAAAAGCAAGTTTCAGGACAGCCAGGGCTACAGAGGGAAACCCTGTCTGAAAAAAGAAAACAAAATAAAACAGTGCTAATCCTATGCTTTTCAACAACCCAATGAGACAGGTTTTATTTTCCCACTTTCTACAGTATCCCAGAAAATGGCACAGTGTCACACAGGTCCACAATAATGTACATTTCCAGTGCCACTGGTCATTACAGACTTTGATCCATTCTAAGGTGGCCTAGTTTATATTTACAGGACTTCTTCCAAATTCTAAGCTAAAATATGTGCCTAAGGTTCCCATCCATCTGCTCTAGAGCCTTGCTTCAGCCCGGAACAAGTCAAATTCCTTTGTTTAATTTCTGAGATGGTCTTAGCCTGGAATTTGCTATGTAGATGAGGCTGGCCTCAAACCTGTGGTGATCCTTCAGCCTCTGCCTCCACAGTGCTAGGAATACAGGCTCGCTTGACCCCACCACACTTAACAACTCTGTTTTTCCATCACTCACGAATCCAGCTTTCCTGGTAAGCCAAGGGTTCAAGCCTTCTCCTTGCTTTGGTTAATTGTTGTCGTTATGATGTCCCTTGAGGGAAAATGTGTTACTTAGGAATGCTGTCACAGAGTTGAATGCGGCCTTTCCCCTGTTCCCGAGGCTCTGTTTCCATTAATCCAACCTAAAAGTATTCTTGTTCCAGAGCTCCGTTTGGAGAGAAAAGCCATTCTGGCTCCCCAGCCCCTTCCCCGCCTTGTCCTGGGTTTTCATGTTTATGTTCCTTTGTGGTCTGTCACAACACGCCCACACGCTGCTGCTTCTCTTCGGCATGACCTTGGTCCTCATTCTTTGCAGTGTGTTACCGATCCAAAGTGCGCGCACACATATACATACACACACACTACATTCACTTTTCTCTCACCTTCTATCACCTCCTCTTCCCACTTTCACTTCCTGACTTCTACCTGGTCTGGCATAAGAGTATCCAAGCTGTTCTCCAAGCAGCTTGCTTCTTTTTAACAGGTAGTAGGCATGCTCCCAAGCATCACTGGCCCGCTGTCGGAACGTGTCTGTCTTAGCACTGACACTGCATATGCAGACAGTCAGAGGCTGGTTTCCAAGACAGTAATCTGATTTGGGAATGCTTCCTCTAAGCAGGTCTCAAATTTCACTTTCTTGAAGTTCCACAACGCCTAGCTTAACCTAGGAGCTGCTCATATAGAAGACATCCTCCGTGAAAGAGTGGAGAATTAAGAGTCACTGTTCTTTCCATGGACAGTTAAATGAGGATCAGCCTGGGTGACAGGAAGCAGCTGGAAAGAGCCGGTATTCAAACCCTGTTGTTCTCAGGCTGGGTGTTCCTGGTAACAGCTCCATCAGCAGAATCGTGGCAGCAACAGCGGCCACCTCTTGGACCTACTGTGAGGAGTTTAATCACTTAAAGCACTGAGAACACGGTCTAGCTCTCACACAGTTAAAAACAGCTATTATTATTCCCTCGCGTTGAAAAAGGATTTAAAGGAACAACAGAAACCCGATTATTTCTCCAGGCACTTGGGGTTCCTGCTTGCTTCTTTGCAAGCCCTGGGTCGTTAAGCATTGGTATGGAGGTTTTGGCTTTTTAAGGAAGCAGACTTTCAACAGGGGCTCAAGAGTCATTTGTGAATGAATGCCCCTCAACCTGGGGCTAGCCAGGAAGAGGGTACAATTGTTATTTAAGAGGAAGAGTAAAGGCTAGGGACCTGGAATCTACCAGAGCTGAGCTCCAGTTAGAGCTTCCCTTCCTGCCTACTGGAAAACAATAAACCAGAGACAACAACAAGAATCTAACAAAACCCATTCCAGACAAAAATAAGCGAACGTGGATCCTAGCTCGACTTAACGTAAGTCGGCTAAATGGCTAAAGTCTTCAGATTAAAAAACAGAAGGAAAAAAATAATATGACCTCTCCTTTCCCTTCAAAAGTTCCCTTTTTATTTCTTGGTCATACAGCTGTTTAACACAGAATTCTAGAAAATGTCAAGGGTGCCAGAGACATCTATACTTGGTCACAGTTCGCGAGTAGACTACGTCACCACAGAAGAAATTAGTTGAAAGTTGTGTCAAATCACCTTAAACACATGAAGTAGATGGGAAGAACCAGAACAAAGAAAGTGAGTAAAGCTAGTTTAACCGCATTCAAGCTCACCACGCTTAATCCCCTTCAGGGGTTCACCTTCAACAACAAATTTGGTCTCTTGGCCTAAATCTTTTTTCTTAAAAGAACATTTTCTTGCAAGTCTGAGGTTGGTTTCTGTCTTCTTTATTTTTTTTCAGACCCCGAGAAAGAAAAGAATTTACCTGATTGGGTTGCATTTTAGGACAAGATCGACTCGAGAACGGAAACAGAGGGCGATGGTTTATACAATTCTTGGAGCTACTGAGGCATGGGAAGTGTGTGATTGTTCAGCCCCAGAAAAGGGCCAGTTAGTGACACCCGGGATGAGGACTTCATCCGGCAGCGAATTAAATAAGGCTGCGAGAGAAAGAAAAGGTGTAATTAAGCCAGTGCTGTTCGTGCCTGCTTACGGGGCCTGGCAATTTGGTTGAACACCCTTCATCTTGAGAAATTTATAGTGTGTCAGTAAGTTGGCACAGACCCAGTTTAACATTGCAAAATCTGGGAAATGTCGAAATGTGGCTTGCTCATTGAACTTTTCCAGGATCTCTCGAATTATTTTTCTCCCTCTCGGATTCAGAAAGCAGCGTGCCTCTTTAGAGAAGGCCACGAGGGTTGTTTTTCTTTTCTTTTTTTTTTAAAGCAATAAAGTCAAGGAAACGCAGTCATGCGGGCTGCAATCAACTTTCCTGATCCCGACCTTTGTGTCCACACAGGGGGGAGAAAATGGTTTCAACGGCAAACCCCGAGTTGCCGCGGTTGGTAGCCCTTTAAAAACCCCCCACAAGCAGCACTCCGGTTTCCGGAGTGAGCCGCGCGTCGCTGCGCCCCAGCCCGTCCCCCGTTGTTCCAAAGTACGAGGGAGGTCGTCAGGCCGAGGGACCCGCGGACAACTCCGGCCGCCCGGGCCCGGGGGGCTCCCACCGGCTTCCCGAAAGTCGCTGCAAGTTTTCTGACAGGAAACCGGCCAGCCGCAGCACGTCCCGGGCCCGGTTCCCACGGAAGCGGCGCCCCCCGACGCCTCCGTCGGAGCCGCGGCGAGCGGCAGGGGGCAGCAGCGGGAACCCGTTGTTCTGGAGGCGGGGTGGGGCGGGAAGCGCCCCCCAGCGCGGCTTC